TAAACTGCTACTCTGTGAGAGATGGAGGAGGGAGGGAGAGGAATGATCTTCTCTGCGTTGTTGTGCCAGACAGAGTAACAATCATCAGAGCAGCTCAGACACCAGGACTGATTGTTCCCTCCAAACCTGGAGGTCCTGCTGTATCCCTTCCTCCTGATCGTGATGTAAGACACTGCTATATCAACCCTTCCACTCCACTCGACCTCCCAGTATCGGCGACCAGTCAGAGCGTTTCTACACAGCAGCTGACAGAAGGTATCAAATCTTTCCAGATTATCAGGATACGGTTGCTGCTCGTTCACCGCTTCCACTCTCTTGTTGTTGTCAGACAGTTTGAGGTTTCTGTGTGCTGAGTTTGGGTCCAGAGTGATTTTACAGGCATCTGATGAAGAAAGAACAGACAATAATAAAGCAGTTTATCATCTAGTGCAACTCACAGGTTTATCATTTGTTGATCTATAAGCAGCGTGACTGTTTAAAGGTTTTTAGAAGACACATGCTGATGATATCTTGTTAATTTAGATCTGGCAGCAAATCACCTCACAATTACTGATCTGATTTCCTGTTAACCCTGTTTATACCTGGTTATTGTAAACTGCTGATCTCAGTTGTCTTCATTGCAAACTACAGATTAAGCTAAAGTTAGGTTGATAAATATTTGGAACGTTTTTTTTTTTTTTTTTAAATTTTGGCTCTGTACAGCACCACAATGAATTTTCAATGAAACAATTCAGGTGTGGTCGAAGTGCAGACTTTCAGCTTTAATTAAGTTGGTTGAACAACGAGATTGCATGAAAACGTACGGAACTAAAGCATTGTTTAAACACAATCCCTTCATTTCAGGGGCTCAAAAGTAATTGGACAAATTTAATAACTGAAAAAAAAATGTTGATTTCTAATACTTGGTTGAAAACCCTTTGCTGGCAACAACTACCTGAAGTCTTGAACTCATGGACGTCACCAGACACTGGGTTTCCTCCTTTTTAAAGCTCTGCCAGGCCTCTACTGCAGCAAAGTTCAATCTAGCCATTCTATTCTTGAGGTTTATGAGTGGCTGGCACCGTGCAGTGAACCCTCTGTATTTACTCTCATGCAGTCTTCTCTTTATGGTAGACTTGGACAATGATATGCCTACCTCCTGGAGAGTGTTTTTAACTTGGTTGGCTGTTGTGAAGGGGTTTCTCTTTACAATGGAAATGATTTTACGATCATCCACCACTGTTGTCTTCTGTGGACGTCGAGGGGTCCATTTCACAAAGCAGGTTTAGTGAAAACTCTGTTAACTCCGAAATGAGGGAAACTTTGAGCTTTCCATTTCACAAAGGGAGGTAACTCAAACCAGAGACAGAGGGGTAACTCTAGTCTGTTTCACAGAGAGAGGTAACTTAAAGCCTCGGTCAGTTACCGTAGTAACAGACTCTATGAACCTAACCTGGTCGGGACCAGGTTTTTTCAATGAACCTCCAGTTTCTCTCTGTCTCTGCCCTCTTTCAGTCACACACACTACTTGATTTC